ATTCATCCTCTGATGCTGCTTGGCCTGCTGTGTTCATCCAGCTCCACACCTTGTTATCTCAGACTCCAGCATCGGCAGTTCCTATTATCTTTGATATATTGTATTGTTGTTGTATATGTTATATTAGCTTTCCTTTATCTACCTTACTTGTTACAATTCCTGCATAATAACACGTAAAAGTGGTGAAGACGATACTGTCCTTTTATTAATATTGATGAGCTTCATTGACTCTGGAACTACTTTTCCTAGAACCAACAAACCTTTACAAATTTTAACATTACTTTTGTTTCAATCAACTAAAAGCTAGCTGCTTGTAATTGATAAAGTAACATAATGTTACCCTTTCTGGAAAAGCACTTGAATCCAGACATTATTACGATCTTGATCCAAATATGGACAAAAGGGCTAAATTCTAGAGGTGAGGAAAAAGTGACTCCACTTGGTGTCAAAGCAGCACTTGACTGTCAGGCATGAAGAGGTGACGTCTAACAGGATCAGGAGAAAAGTTTTATAGTGGCTGAAGACAAACGTGTTAAAAGGCTAGAGACAAAAAAACTGCAGATGTCAGAATCCAAGGTAGACAAACAGGAGGCTAGAATAACACAGCATCTAGAGGAAAGGAGCAGTCAACATTTCGGGTATTACCCTTCTTCAGGACTGAAGGGTAATACCTGAAACGCTGTAACTTGTACTAGTTGCTGACATGCAGTTAAGCTATACCTTATTAACTATAAGACTCTGCCAGCTCGACCAGGAAGTGGTTTTCTCTACCACACTAAACCAAGCAGGTCTTCTAGCTTTCTACACTTAAAAAGATTGGCGACAGCAATCTTCATCATAGCAGCAGTTTATACTGTGTAGTGAGTCAACATACCCATAATATAGTAAAAACAAAATTAAGAAAAATTAACTTAATCAAATGATACATAACATTTTAAATGGAAAAAAGTAAACGTGAAATGTCGGATCGCTCACCTTCGTGATACAGGAGACAATGTTATTGTTTCCTCTGCAGATCTGGCAGCATCGGTGAAGAGAAATCAGAATTAACATTTTGGGTTCTTCTGACGAAGGGTCACCGGACCCAAAAGGTTAACTCTGATTTCTCTTCATGGATGCTACCATACCTGCTGAGCTTTTACAGCAATTTCTGTTTTTGTTTCTGATTTACAGCATCTGCAGTTCTTTTAATTTTTATTGTTTCTTCCCATCATGTATAAGATCTTCGTCAGGCCACATTTGGACTACTGTGTGCTACACTACCCAGAAGGTTGTGGAGGCTTTGGAGAGGGTGCAAAAGAGGTTTACCAAGATGTTGCCTGAATTGGAGTGTAGCAGCTATGACAAACTTGGATTGTTTTCACTAGAGCGTCAGAGGCTGAGGGGTGACTTAAGAGAAGTGTATAAATTATGAGAGGAATGGAAGAATCTTTATCCCAGGGCATAAATGTCAAATACTAGGGGCCACGTATTTAAGGTGAGAGGACAAAAGTTTAAAGGAGATGGCAAGGCAATTTTTTTTTTATAGAGGGAGGTAGGTGTCAGGAATGTACTGCCACGGAAGGTGGTCGAGGCAGAGGCGATAGCAATGTTGAACAGGCACTTAGACAGAGGCATGGAAGGCAGAGAATAGAGTGAGACTGACAATGGGCAGGCAAACGGGATTATTTAGAATGGCATCATGCTCAGCACAGACATGGTGGGTCAAAGGACCTGTTCTGTGTTGTACTGTTCTATGTTCTATGTTCTGTTTCAAGTGTGAGAAGCATTCTTTGAAAATAGGATTGAATTTTCTCATCTTCAAAGTTAAACATTTAAACATCTGTGTTTTGGCATTAAAAAAAGAGACTCTTCCAAAACTGATCCAAGCTCTTCTTAAAGGTTAGGTGCCACAAATAAATAAAATGAGGTTAGGTGTAAGAATGGAAGCTAAGAATACCATTCGAAGGCATTGTGGACAAAATTATCAGAGCAGAATGAAAAGAAATGGGTTCAGGAATGTTTAGTAGCCTTTCTAGAGGGAGTAGGAATTCTAAAAAATGGTACTAAAAGTGTTAAAAGTGTGGATTTATTTGGGTCTAAGGGTCTTTCCATTCTACTAATTTTTTTGTCTTTCTCAAAATATGAAAGCTTCAGCTTGAGGCAATCCGTTTGCTAGCAGGATTGTCAGTTGACGATTTTAAATAATCCTCAGTTCCCTGTCTTTTCACATAACTGGATACTGATAACAATTCAAGATTATAGCTGAGTTTAGACTAATAGGGCTTTTTAATAATTGAATATTAGCTGAATGGCAGCTACAGCCAAAACAGCCTATAGGCACAGCAGAACTTAATCAGAATATGAAACAACCATTAGCGAGAAAGCTCAGAATTCAAGTAGTTTCAAAAATCTAATTAACTCATTAAAAACTTAAAAAGTTAGGAAAGGACAGACCACATGACAACAGTTCAAAACATCTGAATGTTTAAGGATAAACAATATTCAATGTATTATGTTATTTGTTAACAATATTGACAAACTTGACTCAGAGGTAACAATGTCACCTCTCACTCAAAAACTAACAGTGTCAATTTCACCTGCTCCTCTTCAGACAAGTTAGCACATAATGTAGGCTCCAGATTCATTATACTGTTAAGGGAGTGCTGCATTATCGCAGGCACTCTTTCTCAGATAAAATAATAAACTGACACTCTGTCTGGCTGGTAAAATGCACATAGAAATTCTGTAGAAATTCAACTACTACTTTTGAACAAGATTTGTCCCTTGAGCAACATCACTGAAACGTTGCTGTTCATAAAGTTTTCTTTTGTGCAAATTGTTTACAGTGACTACACTTCAGAAATGTACCATCAGCTGTAAAACACTTTTGTGCACTCTGGGTCTGTGAAAGGCACTTGTTAGGATCACAGACATACATTAATCATAGGTAACTTTAATCTTAGTGAAGATTGGGAAAATGAAATTGGCAGAGGTAGCCACGAGGAAGAATTCAGAGAGTTTATTTGGGACGGTTGTTAATCCTACCATCGATCAGGCTATTTTGGATCTGATGATGTGTAATGAGGCAGATTTAAATGAATGACTTCAGAGTTGAAGATCTCTTCAGGAACAGAGATTATAGAAGTTAGCTTTCTGTTTGAGTGTGAGAAACTCAGATGTGTCAGAAACAATACGCTAAACTTAAATAAGAGTTAGTGTATAGGGATGAGTGCAAAGCTGACTGGTGTTGACTGGAGGTGTTTAGCAGAGGAATGATGACAGGTGTTTAAGAAAATAAAGAAGTTCACATCTCATAGCAAAGACATATACCGGTGAGGAAGAAGGATTCTAAGAAGGAGAACCAACCATGGGTAACCAAGGAAATTAAGGATGGTGTCAAACAGAAAGGAAAAAGTGCTGCAAAGAAAAGTAGTAAACCAGAAGTTTGGGAAGGTTTTGAAAGCCAACAAAAGATGACCAAAATAAATAGAGGTCAAAAACAAAGTAGGAGAATAAACTAGAAACTAACACAGAAATGTACTGTCAGAGCTTCATTAATTATATCAAAAGAAATAGAGATGCCAAAGTGAAATTAGGCCCCGTTGAGTATAGTGCTGATGAAATAGTAATGGGTCACCAGGAAAATGTAGAAGAGTTCAGTAAATATTTTGCATCAGGCTTTACGGTAGATAATGGTTTGCCACATCATTCAGAACTTTCAGGCTTACAGTACTTTCAC